TCCACCACGTGCACAGCCCCGTCCGGGCTGCGGGACTCGCGCAGGACCTCGCTGCCCAGGAAGACTGGGATCTGCGGGCAGGTGGGGAAGCGCTTCTCGTAGGCCTGTGGGCAGAACGGCAGTGAGCGCCCCTTGGTGGGGGGCAGAGGGACTCCCCCACCCAGCGCGACCTCCTTATCTGCTGTGTCACTTATCAGACGTGAAACGCAGCCCTGGCCGCTGGAAGGGGCAGGGATTTTGCAGTCGTTACCAACACTCATTCCACCAGCTAGCACCTGTTAGAGCCCGACACAGCAGAGCCTGGACAATGATTTGGCAAATAAGTTTTTGCCTCTGCATTTGAATTTTTGCCCTGAGAAGGAAGCACAGGGACTCCGGGGACATTTTAAAATAAGGTATTTCTCAGGAAAACCATTTGAGAAAAATCCAGCACACCTTCATGATAAAAAAAAAAAAATCAATAAACTAGGAATAGAAGGGCACTTCCTCCGCCTGGTAAAGCCATCTGCTAAAAGCCACAGTTAACATCCCTGGTGAAAGACTGAGTGCTTTCCCCCAAAATTAGGAACAAGGTAGGAATGTGCATTCTTCGTGTCTATTCGACCTTGTGCTGGAGGTTCTAGATAAGTAAAAGAAATAAAAGCCATCCAGTTGGAAAGGAAGAAGTAAAACCATCTGTATTTGCAGATGACATGATTATTTATATAGAAAATCCTAAAGCATCCATACAGTACACACAAAAAGATTAGAACTAATCAATGAGTTCAGCAAGGCTGCAGGATATAAAACCAATGTAGAAAACTCAGTTGTATCTCTATGTACTAACTGAGAATAAAATGAAAAAATTCTATTTACAACCACATCAAAAAGAATAAAATACTTAGGAATACATTTAACAAAAAGAAATGTAAAATGTATACTCTGAACACTACAAAACATTGCTGAAAAAAATTAAAGACCTAAATAAATGGAAAGGCATCCCATATTCATGAAACAGAAGACTTAATATTGTTAAGATGGCAATATTCCCCAACTGGTCTACAGATTCAACACAATATCCACATCCCTGCTGACTTCTTGACAGAAATTGACAAGCTTATCCTAAAATTCATATGGATATGCAACAGACCAAAGATAACCAAAAGCAATCTTGGAAAAGAGCAAAGGCCAGGCGCGGTGGCTCACACCTGTAATCCCAGCACTTTGGGAGGCCGAGATGGGTGGATCACGAGGTCAGGAGATCGAGACCATCCTGGCTAACACGGTGAAACCCCATCTCTATTTTAAAAATACAAAAA